AGAGAGAGAGAGAGAGAGAGAGAGAGAGAGAGAGATGGTGAGATCGCAGATTAGTCAACACGTTCAGATAACAAGAAATTTACCCTCTCCCCTCCGTGCATCTGACCTAGTTTGTATATGAATTTATTCTTATTTCGCTGTAAAATATAAACCGCACTCAACAAAACAAGTAAATGGAATGGTTAGGAAATAGAGGGCAGCACTTACCGTCGCTAAAAGAGCAACTCCAATCACTGCCCAGTTGAGAAAACCCATTCTCAAAACTTGTGTTCGCCCTGAAACACAAATAATAACCTCATTTTCAGCAATAATCGAGAAAGAGAAAGATCTAGGTTAAAACGCGCAAACCGCACGATATGACGAAAAGTCACCTGAATAGCATCGTAAACTGGTAAAATTAATTATTATATACTAACTAAATATAATTATTCCAAGATGACCGAGCCTAATTTAATTACTATCGCATACGTGAGGAAGTTTGCGGTTGCGCTGCCAGCAATGGAGCGTTGAGTAAGAACTCTACAATATAAGCAAATCATGCACATCACTCTTCTAAAACTCGAGCCAATGAGAGCGAAAGCGCCACATTATCACGTTCAGCACGGATCCCGAGTTCGAACAATCAAAACGCACGTCCGCGGATCCCGAGTATATACTCGTTCGAACAATCAAAACGCACGTCCGCGGATCCCGAGTATATACTCGTTCGAACAATCAAAACGCACGTCCGCGGATCCCGAGTATATACTCGTTCGAACAATCAAAACACACGTCCCCCGAGTATATACTCGTGGCAACTTTTTCGCCGCACGTTTGCTATATTTTCATATAGATGGCAGTGGCTGTACGCTTAGAAATTAACAACACATTGTCCTTTCCCGGCTCTGTGTTAGAACACCAAAACATTCCAGCTATAAAGAGCTACTCATACCAATGCTACTCATACCATACGATAAATACCAAACTTACTTATCCAACTAGATATCGATATGATTATCAAAATACTTATCGAATTACCCATTAAACTACTATACGATATCGAACTAGTTATTCAATGCGTGTTGAATTATATAAAACTACTTATCAAACTAGGTATCGAATACTTGTCCAATCACTTATCAAACTACATGTCGATCTACATGTAAAATTGGCTATCAAATACTTATCGAACTGCATACCAAACCACATATCGAACTAGTTATTGAATACTAATCGAACTAGTTATCGAACTACATTAAAAACTACATTATAAAATTACACGTAGAACAACTTATCGAACCACGCAATACTATGCGAGATAATTCTAAGTAACGATGGCGATGTTGCTAACCTTATAAGCGATGTTTGTTCACGATCTATCGGTGATGTGAGATGCGATGGCAACGGGACGAGCGTCACTACTGATGCTTCTTGCAGGACGATGGCGTCGTTTTATACTTCGAAAGCAGATTTGTTGACCGCGATTCCGTGCGGATGCTGCAAAGATAGTTTGCCTGACCCACTTGTACCTGGCGTGCGACGGACTGCGCCATTCTCCCAAACACCTCTCACTTTCCATTCAAGTTCAGTCAGCAGGATCTAAGTGTGGATGTATGCATGTGCATGTGTGTTGAGCTAACAGTCTGCCTATGAATGACCAACATGTGGGTCAGTATCTGACTTACTAGTGCCGATATATAGGCCTATGCGTGAAAGGCAGATGCCTGATCCGATCTAGAGAATTCGGTTCAGTGAAAGTTATCGCTGACGAATATCGATAAGATACGTGCGAGCATGCATCAACTAGGACGGCTCTTTGATGCGCCCGCCCGCGTGTGTGTGCCTGTGAACGTGTGTTTGCGGGCGTGTATACTCATGTATGTGCGCGCGTGCGTGTGTATATGCGCGTGCGTGTGTATATGCGCGTGCGTGTGTATATGCGCGTGCGTGTGTATATGCGCGTGCGTGTGTATATGCGCGTGCGCACGTGCGTGTACGTGCGTTGTTAAATTTCATGTCATTCATTGAATTGAATGTATATATTTCTGTGTGAATTCAATTCATTCTTATTTAATAATTACTGCAACGTAAAGACTTACGCACTTAAAATGTTTTTCTCAGCAAACTATTCATAGTAACCTGTTTACGTGCATTGTCACCATGTTCCTAATCACGCTTGTGTAATTTTACAGTCGAATCATCATGATAATTACCACTGATATATTCTTAAAATTCCGCTAAAACTCCACAAAGTCCCTCACAATGCTTTACCCATTCCGCGCGTTACAGCTATTCGCAGTGGGTTTAAAAAAATTCCAGGCATCTTATCTGATAGATCGATCATACACAAATCACATTCTGGTTTATTCATCGCAGTCCACATTTTCTTTGTCCGTTTTAACACAGATGGACTTACCCTATATAGCAAGCAACCAGATCCAGGAACAAGATAAACTGACAGCCGAATCTCGAACACAATTGATCGTTAAAATGTACAGCGTTATTTTTATTTTCGTGCGCTAGATCCCTAGTTACCCACATTTCGCCCTTGCCGAGAAAACGTGTGAAGATTCGTGGACATTGGCCTTCGCCTATTAACCGATACACTGACCGGCGGTCAGCCAGCTGAGACGGAACACAGCGAAGCACATTCATGTTTCTTACTCCTCTTCAAACTTCCTTGATACTTTTACAATAGTCAGTGTATATGCTAATTACATACTCATATATTATTATTGTTGTTGTTGATATTATTGTTATTATTATTATTATTATTATTATTATTATTATTATTATTATTAATAGTAGTAGTAGTAGTAGTAGTAGTAGTAGTAGTAGTAGTAGTAGTAGTAGTAGTAGTAGTAGTAGTAGTAGGTCTTAAATTGTACCGGTATCTACACGCTTCTTATAGAGTGCAACAATGACAATGTTATATATATATATATATATTTATTTATTTATTTAAATAATATACAGGTACATACATAAATGTCATTTTAATTGAAAAAATTTACGATTGGATGCATTAAATTAATATTTTGGTAAACACTAATCTAACGTGGGGCGCTTTTAGTGCGTCACCGCCGACGTCTCCTGAATCGTCTGCTGCCGTTTGGCACTGTCTAAAAATATTTAAAAAATTACACATCTCAGCGCAGCTCCTTCTCTACTATCGGTGCATAAAAAGCATCATTTATTTCTATTGTCAAATTCGCTTTCGTTGACTATTTACGATGAGTAGATTTCTTTTCGCAAACATTAATATACAACCATATACATTTAAGAGTAAACAGTGTAGCAGCGTGTTGATTCACTCACGGCGGCTGCATACAACAGGCACTCGCGCCATTTTAATAATAAAATGATAGCAAGTTTGTCCTTAGTACCGAAACTTCAATGTTGATGTTTACTCTCTATCGTCTAAAAGACAATGCGGTCTTTTTAGAATGCGTCCAGCAATCTTAGGCGGCAAACGGCGCGGCCTAATGTGCACAAGGACAATAGAGTTGTGTATACACACAGCAACGGCACACACGCGCACGCCTCACACACCGCACGGCAGTGCGCACGCAGAGACACACACACTCGGGCGGCGCACAGCACAATACACACGCGGTGCACAGAAACTTCACGCCGCAGACATACGGACACACGCGCCGACAACCTCGCGCACGAAACGCCGCGCATGCACACGGGCGCACACACGCGGCGCAACACAAAAACGCGCAGACGCACGCACCACACGCAGCACAGCGCGGCACGCAGAAACACGCCGCACCACACACACAACACGCAAGCGCACACCAGGAGCCCGCGCACACACACACCACACACAACAACGCGCGCGCGCGCGGAGGCGCGCGCGCACGGAAGACGCTGGGGGCGCACAGGCAAAAACACGCGCGGCACACACCAAACACACAATATAACACACGCAGCGCACACAGCCCGCGGCAACGAATATATACACCACAGCACGCACGCACGCACGGGACACACACACAGCGACCCAGCAAAGCAGCGCGGGAGGTGGTGAGACACACAACGCAGCGGGCACACACGCGCCGCGCGCGCAGCCAGACAGGCACACAAACACGGGGCGCCGCGGGCGGGGAAGGGCGGGGGGCCCCCCCCCCCCCCGTGCGGGTAGGCGGCAAGGAATTGTGGGCGCGAGGGACAGAGGTGGGGGAGAGGGTGGTCACGTGGAGTGACATGCAGGCACAAGAGAAGAACGCGGCGCCACACACGCGCACACATGGGAGCCCAATATATATTATTATATATTATTAGTATATATATATTATATATATATAATCAGATAAATATAAAGTAGCAGATGGCCATTTGAGGATTATTTACGATTACTCGCAGGGCAAGTTTCTAATATTTAATTTGTTAATATCACAAATCGTCATAGATCACGAGTTGTGTTTATATTTGCTACTATTCGGAACGATAGATTAGTTCATTGTACATTCCAGCAGCAACTCGCAATGCCGCTTCAATGTTTTCCAGGCAGTCCTATTATATAGCAGTGATCCACTCCACTTTGCTTTCAACGCATCCCCACCCGGCAGCCGGCTCCTTACACTGATCCATGCATTCATGGCTAAATATCGAAGCCTCTGCACGTGACGTCAGGCAGAGTCGCTCCTTGTTTCATAAGGTTTTTTGGGTTGCCGTGGTTGCTATTATAGTATGAGTAGGTGCAAGGTTGGCCGTGTTATAGGTTACTCAAGGAATCGCGGCCTGGTAGTGACCCGGCCCTGGTCGGAGGGGTTCAAGTCTGGATAATAGGTGGTGGGTAGGTAGTGTGCTGCATAGCAATACGTATACGAATTAGCTGCCGAGACACGCTGTGCAATAAAGTAGCTATAATGGGGTTAGCAGCTAGCTTTGTTCGCAGGGGTTGGCGCCGCGGAGTTAGAGGTGTTACAACGGTTGCGCAATCAACCCGGGTCAGTGTGGAAAGATACAGGTAATAGCGAAATAGGCCGATCGTATCGTCATAAGGGGCGATATAAAGGCCGAGAGTTAGGGGACGAAGTGACGGTTAGTAAAGTCTGGCAGCGATCACGTTGGGCAGAGAGGCTGACTAGATAGACATAGGCAAACGTTTAAGTAAGGTGTAATATCGGGAAAATGAGAGCTTAATAAGGGGGGTGGAACCATCATTGAGTGATAGTACTAGACGGCGTCATGTTTGACTGGTTGAGGTTTGCAGTAGTTTCTTGCGGGTATATGCAGGATGCAGTCTAGATTATAAAAACAACAGCATGGACGAAGACGGGTGGGAACGTGGCACGCAAGGCCGGCATGCACACTACGTGTACCTGACACACCGCACGCTACACACGCACGCACACATGCAGCGTACATGTATGCCCACACGCACTCGCGACGCACGACAGCGGTGCCACGTGTACACGCACGCACACACGCGCATCGCATGTGTACGGGTACACACCGCACGCACGAGCATAGCGTGGTACGTGGCAAGCGCAGCACGCATGGCACGGCGATGTGGTACGGTGCAAGACGGGGGGGACCGTGCCACGCCGCGCGTGACAGGCATACGCCATGCCACGCATCCCACGGCACGCGCTGGTAGAGGCGTGCCAAACAGCAGCGAGCCACACGAACACTACACGTACGCATGGCACGGGCACGGGTCCGTAACGGCGACGCACAGCACGGCAATACGTGTAGGTGCAAACGCAACGAGGCATGCACTCATGTGTAGGTGCACACGCACGCACGCACGTACTAACGCAGGCGCATGCAGCACCTGTACGTGGGCAGAACGCCGCACTAGCAAGCACGACGACGTACGGACCATGCACGCACACGGTGTAGTAGGCACACGCACGGGCACGGAGGACCATAATGTGTTCGCGTGCACACGGCACTGCACGGCAGTGCAAGCAGCCATGTGTACGATGGACACGCCGCAACGCCGTGACCTACGCGCGCATGGCCGCGACCGTGTATCGTGCAAACGCAACCGCACGCAGCCAGGAGGGGGGGGGGGGAGCGGGGGGTACGCATCCCCACGGGTAGTATACACCGCAGGAGTGCCGCACCGTGTACGGGGTGAAACGCACGGCAACTTGGACGCATGGTGTACGTGACGACGCTGTGCAATAAGTGGCTAATAAGGAAAGCAAAGTGTGTGCAGGTGTTTGTCTATTGGTTTCTCGCTTGTGTTGACTTCTCGTGTAATAAGCGTGTAAGTTAATTAAAGCGCGTAAGATGTGTTACAGATGTTGGGGCAGAATTACATCTTTGGCTTGAGTGATTCATATGTTTGTGTTTCTGCTAGTAGAAGTAAAAGTGGAATTAATTAATAAAAGATTCTAATTAAGCGCGGTCGTGTGATGTGGTGATGTGTGTGTGTGTGTGTGTGTGTGTGTGTGGTGTGTGTGT